GCTGAAGAATGTATCTTTCAATAAATGCTTGTTTAAGCGTCTGTATTGTCAAAAATATGGTAAAATGGCACGATAATTGTCGTCCCAAAACACAAGAAATTCGCATAATAAACACGTCAAAATTTTCCTATTTTTTTTTAATGCGGCCACAGATTCAATGTACACTGCACAGAAAATTCAGTTTATGACCTATTTAAATATGTATGTTTGTATCCACAAATTTCTCATGCTGACTCAGGGCGCAACCTTTTTGAAGTGGGGACACATTTTATCAGAACGATTCTGCCGTCATGACAAGCACATGGATTTCCAGGCCACTGATTGTTTAATGAAATTTGTAACAAATATACAAAGAGAACCCGAATGTGCTTGCGCTTGTAAACAAACGAAGCACGCGGTATTGCTGGATTTATAAGTATTGTCCCCGTAGGTTTCCAATTGTATATAATTCCTGAGATATTGTTATTTTATTGTGAATCCTTGTCTGGGGGTTCTGTTCTTAAGAATTGTTTTTTGATAAATCGGCTTTAGTCGATCAAGATTTTTCACTTCATTTTGGGTGCCGAGCAGTGATTTTGACAGTTATTTTTTAATGTTTTCCTTAAGTATCACCTGGTGCTATTCTAATCACTAATCAATCTCTTTTTCTTGAGCTGCATTTCCTTTACATTTAAGAGGGAGAGGTTTTGAGTGGCTATCACTGACGTTGTTTGGTTTATTGGGGGCTTCAGACTCTGGTTATATCAGCATAGTCAAATTTGCTTATTCTTTAATATAATCCTACCTCCATGGTCAGTGGGTTGTAGCTCTATGGTCAGACAGTGGCACATTATACAGTGTACGTTCCAGCATTGTCGTCACATGTTACGTAACGTGAGACTAACAGACTGTGGGGCCGTTTGACTGCCCAACAAAAAGGAAATCTCGCAATCTCTCACAAAAAGTGCGGCATAAAAAAATCATACGTTTCGTTGCTACAAGTCATCTCTTATATCATGAACGATCGTTTCATACTTCTTCGATCTGTAATAGATGATTTGGTAATTCTTTTCTAACTAGGTCAGGGCGCAGCAACCTAAGATACATCTAGACATTTTAAAAACACATCATTGGTATCTTAGTATCTTTAAAGTTTCAAATGTTTGCCAGTACCTCACATAAAATGGATAAATTTCATATCATTCGATTCAGAACATCGTATTCTATCTACTTAGCACGCCATCTTATTAGACAGCTGAATAAGCTTTAAACGTGTTTTTCATAAAAAAAAATCGGTCGGATTCTCGCTTTTTCACGCGCAAGTCTCGCCACTCAAACCGCACGTGTGGGTCGGCAAAAAAAATTTGCAATTGGACCTTATCATAGCGGACGCTGCGGACTGGCTGCATGTTACGAATGAAAGCAATTTGCACCGTTAATCGCTTCCGAAAAAACAAAACCCACGAAAATTGCGGACTCAGTACCTGGAAGTTGTATGCCACTGACATCGACGCATCTAAATATTGGTGGCGTCGGGAAAATAGCCCAAACTAACGGTGCATACCGGAACAGCTGAGGCGAATGTAAATAGCCTCTCCTGGAAAAAAATATCTTCGAGCAATCACCTCACTGAATTAGGGCTAACAGTTGATGAGCACAGTCCACTGGCAAAAACGAAGTGGAAGGCTCCAAGTCCCTGGGACCGTGAGGACGGGTCGCTGTACCAGTTGGTAATCATATAATATAGTCCTTTATAACCAGCAGTAAGAGTGCCACGTTCGATAATGAAATCCCAATTGATACGTACCCTTCTGCGGATATTATAAGTGCGTGACCGCTGCACGTAATTTCCAGTAACTGCCTGGCGGTAGCATTCAAGCACTGTAACCCAATCTGGAAAAAGCAACCTGGACCCAGCGCGTCTGCTGTCTGCTGTTTCTTTATCGTTTTTACATCAGCCTCGCTTGAACGCTTGAACTGCCGCACCCGTAATTAATAAGGTTATTTTAGGCGGTTTCCTGAAATATTACCCCGACCAACTAATTGTATAAGTAAACAGACTCGTTTATACAGTGGCACTGAGTCTCTGTTAATTGGCACCAAACCAATTACGAGTCCACAACGCGACAGTTTGCGTGTTCGTAATGGGTTTATAGCAAGTCTCATTGCTAGTTTTGCAGGAAGCACCACATTAACTTTATCGTTGAAATGAAAAGATACATCTGCGCGACGACGCACCACGCAAGTGGCAGTGGAAATACAAACGTCATAATTATTTGTAACATCTGTGTGAATTCTGTTAGATTACCTGAAATATTTATCACAACTCGTATAATACATTACCATTTTACATAATATTCCGTGCAAGAGATCAGCACGCGTCCGCCCCATGTAGATACCTGTGCTTGTAAGCAATATACAGTAGATTTCCGGAACATTGTTAGCGCCGTATCAAAATCTTGGGCGTGAATCCCACGGGGCGGGGGTATATATCCCCTCCACTTTCTTACCGGGGGTGGGCCATTGAATCATCCCCAACATTTTCGTTCTGAGACAAAAAACTAAGGCAGATTGTGAAGAATATTCGGGCCTCCCAACAACCAAAATGTATCCAATAGCACTCAGAAAGGAGAACAATCAACGCTATAAATATGCTCCTCCGATGTAGGATTCTGCAACAATGTAATACATATTACCAGACGCTCGCCTGTATCCTAAACACCGCCACCTATTTAGCGTCATATGGTGTAAGCACACCCCCCCCCATTTCCATGGCCGGGCCAGTCATCCCTCCACAATTCCCTATCCCTAATCACCCGAATTTCTAGCACAAATTAACGTCACTGAGCAAAGAAAACTGTCCTTCACTCCATGCCAACTTGAAGAGACGTTTATGCTGCCTCGTGTTTTTCTTCGAAAATGGTTGCAAAAGTATCTGGGGGGGGGTAAAGTCGCTTTTCCCCTCAGTGATGAAGTCTTTGGGTGACATAAGGGGGAACTAAATGTTCCTTTTAATAGAATCTTGGTACGGGCAAGTGCACCGTCATTGAGGGCTAGGGGCGAGCCTGAAAGTAGCATAAAGGGAAACCCTCCCCAGGGTCTAGGGGTCATTCAGAAATAAGGGCGAGCGGATGATGCACGTCCCGGCCCACCGGACCAAGCTGCCGATATCGCCGAGGGGGAAGCATCTCATTGAGAACCGGGACCCATCGTCCGTGGTGACCTCCTCGGCACCTTTCCCGGATCCCCCGTGTGCTTGGGACACACGGGGATTGAATCAATCCGTTGCCTTAAAAAACGGAAAAGTGCTCAGCCGTGGTGTACTTGTTCAGATCGATTTGGCAGACAAGAGCCGTGTTCGCGCGTTTTCGTCCCCGAGACGCGTTCTTCAGCGTGTTCACTTACCGGCAGGCTGCGCCAGACTTTACTCGCAAATTGGTCGATGGGGAGGGTGTGAGTGTGCCTGCATTTACATGTCTCAGTGGTGACGAATCGATAAGCCGATATTTCTAAGTTTCACCGAGTTCTCTTTTTGAAAACAAACACAAACAGTTACCCCGAGATCTCCAAGACAGAGGAAGCTGTGAGAAATATAGAGTGTCCATTCAAATATGGTTACATTCTGTTCTTAACAGACTTTGGTTCAAAACTTTTCAAACAATTTCAATAAAGAATTTTTAATGCATCAATTTACTAATGGAAGGTGTCCCACTACAATAAATTAAGATCAATGGCTGATACGTTTTTAGCTTTTTCAACTGTTTATGTTTCCATCTATCTAAAGAAAAAACCGCCAACCATCTCCACAGCATACAGTCACGGTCATGAACACAGCCTCCGCATCAGCGTCGCAACCTTGGTCACGGACTGCGGGGTTCAAGGGTGGATCGTGCCTGGCCGTAACCGCTGTAGGCTGCTGAAGGATATTTATTGCAACCGGCGGTGGGGTTAAAGTGGCCTTGTGATCAAGTACATGTAAAAAGCGCAGCGCTGACGAAATGATCCAAATAATTTACACTGCGGGTAGAGATTAACATGCTGGAGCCAGGGACGATTTGAGCCCGGGGAATAATAAGATCCACATCGGAAGGGCATCCGTCTGCTTTTCATTCCGAGGACACGATGGTTCAGCAGTCTTACTCGTACTGCAGATAGGGGTTTTTGCACTCTCATCTTTCAAGCTCACATCATTATATTAGCTAACCTAGCAACCGATGGACAACACTAAAACAACCCTATTAGGTTTTTCTTTCTTGCTGTTTACAATCTCCCACTCCACTGCAGATGCCCTATTTTTTATTGACGTGCATTTTGGTATGAGCGTCATTGGCAGTCATGCACGACTGCTTGCGATGCGAGTGCACTGCTTTAGGAATCACATGTAAATTCAGTCTCTCAGTAGCAAATATTCAAAACCTAATCAAATTTCATTATAAGGGTGATTCCCCACATGTCCTTAGCTTTACTTTCGTTCTAAAATTAACATTTCAGTCATCGTCCTCTAGGACAGATAATCTAGGACACGACGGAAACTGGGGCTTAAGCAATTATCAGTTTAACAGGAAGATAGCGACCCTCTCACAAAAAGGTCTCCCAGCGGATTAGGAACCTATGGTTGAATGGAAATCCTGGAGAAAAAAATCACGAAAACAAAATTCTCACTGTCTAGTGGGAGCTGAAATCCTTTCTTGAGACATGTATAGGAGAAATGTGTTTCAAATCAAAAAAATATGTTTTGTTCCAAACAGCCTAACTGGTGGTCTTTCTTTACTATTCTGAGCTCACGACATCTTCTGTAAGAAGCACCGTGGACCATAAAAAAGTTTGTTCTATGGGGTATAACTCGACTTAACTTCCCGTAAATAAGAAAATAAATGTGAATCCTTAGTAAGGGGTATATAATTTCATTTGTGGTCAAAGCGTGCGTTAATTTGAGCAGGAAACAGATTTTACGATGTTTCATCGACGCATTTTAAGCTCCAGTTTACCTGATTTGATGAATTCGAATATTATGTGCTTACCGGACTTGCCAACGCCTGGCTTGCCCAAGACGGTAAACTTCATGTCCTGTTGGAAGATCAGAGGAGATCGGCGGGGCCCCGTCGCCATGGTCAACAGCGTCACAAAGCTGAAACTCACGATGGAGGGATATGCCTCAGAAGACACGGATCTCTTTACATTGTCAGAGCCAGCCACAAAAAAGAGGCAATTGCTCTTTGGTTGAGCCGCTTGAGAACAGTACGATGTTGTGTAAATATCCGAAGCCTGATACGCCCAGGTAAACGACTTCGCTGAACCATTCGCTGGCAGATGCCGTCTTCAAACTGGTCAGTGACTTTTGCCGGTGCCCTTTTTTTCTCGCGCTTTATCGGTAACGAAGATGTGCGGACATGATACTCTCTGGTTGTCGCGCTCGAGCGTTCCTGCACAGTGTGTGCGTCTGCGCTGCGTAGCTGGTGGCAGGGAAAATGCAACGGCGCAATTCCCGTCATCAGCCGTCATAAAGCCAGTGGCAATGGTGATGACGCCCTCGCTTTACGCAGAGAGGCCAGGGGGGGGGTTGACATTTAAACAGCACCTCGCGCTCATGCCTTGTGCAGGAAATGTGCACGGTGTGTTTGTATTAGGTTCTGCCCCTTTTTTCTCCTGAAGGAAGCATTTTGTTAATATGACACAGAGAACCAGACGGTGGCCGACCCGTAACTCATCAGCGTGTATCGGCGAGAATTCCGGGGCAGTGTTACCGTTATGTCGCCTGATCCTCGTCACGGCAGTTTTCTCTTGCACATTTGCGGGGCGGCAAACGGATATCAGAGCGGTAGTTAAGTTTGTCACCGCCAATAGCGACCTCGGAATCTTGTCCTTTTTATTTAAAGAGCTGCTCCGCCGTTGCAATTTACCATGGTGCAGATATCCTCGCTGCACACTATTTCTCGAGGAGATTGCAGCGGGCCTGCACCATCCACTTACCAAACAACCTAGTTGGTGCACGTGCTGGTATTCTTATTAAAAAAAAAAAGAGTGAGAAATTTGAAAAACTCTACGACTGTTTAATGGCTGAAATTTATCAACGTTTCTTGAATTTATCCTTTGTTGTAGCGTGCTTTTAAAACCATGCCGATCACAATGCTGTGGGAGATAAGAAAATTATTGCCATGTATGATTTCACGTGCAGTGATGAATATTTATCATGCGCAGTTCTTTACAACCCGAAAGTCCTGTTTGAGAGAGGAGTCTGACGTGTTTGTCATTACAAATTAAAATTGAATGGGAAGAGTTTTGGTAGGAGATCTCCTGGGAAAACTCTGAAAGTCAAATGATAACAGTGGAACGAATACGCCTGTACATTTTAGTAATCACCGGACATTTCAGTCGATGTTACACGGAATTAATCACGACACTGCGTTTAGTCCACCAAAAGACAGTTGGCAGAACCTGAATTTCAGCAGGAAAGCATCAGTCTGGCCGAAAGGACTTGTTGAGTAGTTTATTTTTCAAAAAATGGGCAACGTAGGCACAGTTTAGGTAGTGCAATCTGTCAATTGAGTTTCCCAGTTTAATTGACTGTAATAATAAAACTAACGGGGTGCTCGTGTCAAACTGTTAAAATAAACAATCCTACCTGGAGATTATGTTCACTCTCATAAAATAATTCATGCCACTTGCATTGAAAAGAGACATAGTGACTTTAGATATAGTTTTTTTTTTTTTGTCACCATTGAGTCCACGGTCGCTAGAACGAGACAGACGAGGCGGGTGCCCGCGTCTAGGAAATGTTGTTTCAATAATGTTAATTTCACAATAAGAGCCACTCATGTCATCTCGCCAAATGTAATCTCGTAAAATTACAACCACATCAGGTGATGTTAATGCCTGTATCTGTAGACACTAAAAGGGCTCATCTTCAAATTGCCAGATTTGTGTGCATTGGGTAAATCCGCAGCGACTGCCGAAGGATCGAGTCTAGTATTTCTCAGTTTATTACGCGTTCCATTACATGGCTGCCTTGGTGACTGGCCCAAATTCAGTAATAAATCAAATGTGAATTGAAAGTTTTAAGATATTTTTTCTCAATATCATGTGGAACGATCTTGATGGGTTTCGCCGAAATGCACGTTTTGCGCCTTCTCACGACTCGTAGTGATTTTTGAGTTGTTTTGTCAAAGCGTTGTCGCGTCTCCGTCCATCATCACTAGGTAATCAATCCCCAGTGATTCCTGCCCCGAATCACTGCATGCTGGTGCGCACGCAGCGACTTGTCTCCGTCAGGAGTACCGTTCCGATTACTGACGTGGGAAGTCCGCGCGGTCGACAAAAAAATGACAAGAGATCGTCTCCTGATGGATTACAGACGGGCCCCGAGGAAAGTCTCCTTTTCCTCCACAAGCCCCGGCTTTTTCGAAGAATTTCAATCTCAGTAGTACGGTAGTGTGGTGACATAACAAATCAGGTCATCGATTGCCCGATGGACAAAGAGCCCTCAAGAAATACTTGCAAGCACTGTTCACGCCATTAAAGGAGCTACCCGTACTGTCTGTGTAAGGCTCTGATGTAAAATCCTTATTTTACGCGTCGATTTTTGGGTATTAAAAAGGTCATGGTCGTTTAACCGCTGCTGCTATAAACTGGTCCACAGCCGGCCTGTGGACTCAATCGATGCGTGGACGAAGCGAGCCCTGTGTAACTTTGCAAATTCATCAGCGCTGTCCATCATGATTGAGTTCACAAATCTAGATGGCGAGGTTCAGATAAGTCGATAGTCCTTTGTGTGATTTTTCTGTCTATCTAAGGAAATAATTATCACAGAGCATTAAGTATCATTCTCAACATTGCGTTTTATTGTCTCAAGCAACTGGAAATATCAGTGGGATTTGATATGCCAACCGTCTTAAACCATGACTCAAAATTACACCAGTAAAATGGATACTGTATCGCAAGGACTCGCGCTTATTGAAGGTTTCAGGGATGCAAGCATCACATCATCAGTCTCTGTTTACCCCTGTTCATCACACGCGTTCGTTATTACTTGTCATGCCAGCCTCGTCAGTCCAAGGCCACGTGACTGATGATTTACTTTCTCTGCCTCAATCTCAATGTTTTGATGGAATACCAAAATGTAGGGCCAAGGCTTTGCGTGATTGCTACGAGACGCGTAATTGGCCGTGATTTTGACAGCTTAAACGCGGCAATTGTCTTTGCGCGCAGATTTATCTGGGCGACGAGAGTGGCAATGTAAAACCCGGCTCAGATATTGTCACTGGCGTAGGACGGCCCCTGCACTGACGCGGCTGTTTCATGTATATATGTACATGAGTTTACATCCTTTGGGCAATTTTGATCAGCAATAAATTGTCAACCAATGGTTGATTTGGGCTGGTAACCTTATATACCGGGCACCAGGCCAAATTAACTCAATGATTAACAAATTGTCGCTAATCGATCTTGCCCTTTACATGACCTTTGATTTCGTCTACATCAGACTACCGTTGTTGTTCACAGTTGTACACAGTATGTTGTGGGCCCTTGTGTTCGCTCACATGTTTTGACGTCATTATGACCATGATGACTGGTGGCTATTATTGCGCAAATCACCCAACCAAAATCGAGCGCCCTCAGTGTGCAATTACGGATAAGGCGAGTAAAAGAACAATATAGAGGGCGTCCTTTGAAGCTACCACGGACAAGATTTCAGTTTTGTTTCGTGGTTTATTTTCGTTTCGTTGCTTTACTCAACAGATGGATGTCTTGTAAATTCCCCACCTCTCCTTTTTGGGGTTTGCTCATTCCTCAGCTTCCATTGCATTTGAACTCTTTCATTAATTGGCGAACAATTATGTTGGGGACTTACTTTGCTTGATTTTTTATAATGTCCTTGTGTATCAATAAAAAACGAACAGCAAGCCAGTTCTAGGACTTGTTTAAACTAAATCGTACACTGATCAAAAATACGCATTGACTGACACTCTGTATGTGCTGTAAATCAAGTGACACCAAGTTGTCCTATCAACTGGTCGGACTGCATAGTTGGCGCAAATGCTGTGGGGGGTGGCGGGGTGCGTGTTCTATGCAGTCTGACTGTATAGCTCGCGCATCCGTTGCCCTACACAAACACGATCATCGAGGAGGCCTCTGTGACACGAGTTTGGGGGCTGCCAACATGGCTGCCTACTATTTCGGCGCGTGCAGCACAATGTGATATATGGCTTGCAATTTTGCATAATATGGATGGTGCCTAAATAATTCATGGACTACAGAAGTGGGGACATTTTTGCGTTACTGAAGTATACCCCTTGCGTTTACACACAGAAAACTTTCTCACAGAGTGGCCTGTATCAGTAATAACACAACAGCCCAATGAGATCGAATCTCTCAAACAGTTTCCAACACGTGCATGCGTATATTCTAAGCCTCTAAAGATGGCACCAACTGACTTTCAGCCCTCGTTCTTGATACGCATATCCAGCCACTATGTATATAGAGATCAATGGTTCTAACTTTCTGTTGTAGTTGTTTACCAGTAAAGTGCATACCGCTCTTTCCCCATCAACATACTTGTGAAATTGGCATATTACAAGACCGAGGACATTGCTGTTTTTCAATTATTGATAAAAAAAGTCTCGATGCAGATGGTCACTTTTCCGATTCTGAAATGAGCCTTCTCTTTGGGCCTGTTTGTTTCACATGGATCGGGATCTCGATCAGCAGCGATCAACGCTGGTTCGCTCCTTCCATTAGGGAAGATTGTGGTGATCCCAGGATCTGCGCGAATAACAGGACCCAGGCTAAGATGAGTTGTGCACGTGGTCAGAGGAGAATTCTGAAAATCTGTTTCCTTAGGCCCAATTGATTTGAATTGACTCTCTACAATGAGCATCCGCGGTACTTTCAAAGATTTGGCTGTTAATCATCTGCCTTAATGAGAATGGTGTGATCTTCGGTGTCCTAGGCGGTGACAATCACCAGATGAAAGCTCCATTCGTGAATGCATATGACAACAGGCACTGCATGGTTACAGGAAAACTGATGGGACACCGGCAACTGCACTCAAGAGAATACCGTTGCTTGAGCCTGAAAAAGATACTGTCCAGTTATGACATCCGGTGATGTTGAGCAGAACATTTTGCTGCCATTTTTCATGTGGAGGGATTTTCATGTTCACGAAGAAGGTGTTTCCTGGTCCTTTACCTACTATCTTTAAACTAATTTCGGGTTTAATTTTCAATCACGATTGTAGACAGGAAATAAGCCCTGACCGTGAGTACGGTCGTCAGGTTAAGTTGACTCTGAATACAAGAGGGGCGGCTTTGCCAGTTGCTGGATGTGGTTTATAAACACGTTTCTTTGTATAGGGACATTGGTGGTACATTCCTGTCCGTCAGTATCAGCCGACGAATGTTCATTGCAGACCCCAAGAATCACGAGAATCCTCGTTATAAGCTCACCTTCGACATAATCAACCAATGACCTCCGTCTATTCATTATGGCGTTGCCAGGCACTGCGACTTGAAAACCAACCATGTTTG